TCCAACAGCTGTCTGTTTGTCAACATGTGAAATGGTCTGTTCATGATCGCTTTGTTGAAAGCTGACAGATCCAGAATCGGTCTCATCCCTCCGGTCCTTTTGGGGACCAGGAAGTAGCGTAAGTAAAACCCTGTGTTTTCCTCTTCGTTGGGAACTCTTGAGATTACGCCTTTTATCAGAAGCTCCTGAACTTCTGCATTTAAGGCTGAGATTTGGTCTGGTGATGACAGGACCGTCTCTATAACTCCTCCGAACGGAGGGGGTCGGGTTGCAAATTGCAGCGTGTAACACTTGCATAACACTCTGTCCATCCATCTGTCCGGCGAGCAGGTTTTTTGCCATTCTGCATAACGTTCGTGGAGTGCACGTGCGTTTAAATGATGTGCCGTGTTTTGAACGGATGTCATCCAATCCTCCGCCTCGACCGCTGTCATGCGTCGCGGAAATGTTTTCCGCGTGACCCAAGGCGAGGCTTCCTCGAAAGGGCTGTTCTGCGCGCGCCCGTGCGCTGTGTCTGGATCGCGGACCAACCTTCATGTCTGGACGGGGCGGTGTGTGCTGAGGCGAAGCGTGTGCCAGCTGATGACGTCGTGAGGCTGCACGTTTAATGTCGCTGTGCGAACGTTGAGAGGCGGAGGGCGTGACTTCATCAACGCCGTGCTGTCGAAGTGAAGGTTGTGAGCCTCACGGAAGCGCACGTTTTCTCTGGAGGGACGCGTGCCGCTCTCGCTGGGGGCGGGGCTCGTCACCGGGTTCATTCAGCTGTCTCACGCTTATGCCGCCGTGAGCTGCCGATCGCTGAGACGCGGTGGATGACGGCCGCTCGCATTTGCTCAGGTGAGGCGTGTGTTGTTTTCGCTGAGAGCGGGGGCCTCCACCGGACCCGGCCTGCGGTCCCACATTTATACCGATGTGAGCCGGTGAGCGCCGGGCAGCTGTGCGTGCATCATCCACACAGCGCCGTTTGGATGGAGGCTGCTTGCCTCGCTCGGGTGCGCGTTTAACACCACTTGGGTGGTGATCGTGCGGGTCTGATTGACAAAGAGTTATTTCGCTTACCGTGGTGTCGCGTGAGCGTCTCGACGTGTTGAAGCGACGGTGGGTTTAAAAACCCTTTATTTAAGGTCACCGGCTCTCTATGTGTGGAGGATGTGTGGGTAGCGGCTGTGAGCTCATCCGAACTTACAGACTGGCTAAAAACAGGCACTTTGACCATTGAAAAATCATTTATTTCAATTCCTGTGTCATTTATACACACATCCTCCGCAGACCGTCATTTCTTAAATCTTCTCCCCCGTGAGCTCTGCGGTTTGTTTGCCCCGAGCGCCGTCTGCAAGCGATCTCTGGGGAAACGCTGAAGTGCAGGTTACCGGAAGGAGGGGGGGGTGGTCTCTGACGGGCGGGGCTGGTGGTGGAGCTGAGCGAGACGAAGCTGCTGCTGCCGTGGAGCGTCGATGTTTCTGCCTCTGCTCGCGACGATCTCTCCAGCGGGCTGGGGGACGGGATGAGCCGCGCGGCTTGATGAGATGGCGCACAGCTTCCGACATCTCCTCCGACTGCTTCGAGTTCGCCAGCATGGTCTTTAAGCTGCTTCCGAACAGCGCGTCCGATGTGATGGGGCCCTCCATCAAGTCCTTGTGCAGCTTTTCCAGCAGCGAGGGAGAGTGACGAAGCCAGGTGGAACGTTGGATTACCGTCATCCACGCTGCAATCCTCGACAGGCAAACCGTGGAAGCGGCGCACATGTTGAGGATGGCGTCTGCCGATTTACACAGGGAGCTCTTTGTCTCCTCCGGCAGGTCTGAGGCCTCCAGCCTCTTCGACATGCTAAATGCTAGCAGCGCCACGTTGTTGCTAGCTGCGACCGCCTGAAAAGTACACTGGTGGGCTCTGTTGGAGAGCGCGGTCACCGCCTGGTCGTGTTTCCCCGGAGGGACGGGACGCTTCTCCAACCTGGACAGCTTCGCTCCGAAGGCTTCCGCGAGGCTTGGCTCAAGGGGGGGTACCGAGGGATAACCCCGTTCGGTGAATCCCTCCACTCTGGTGATGGGGGCGTAAGTGGAGACGGGCGCCCTTAACCTACCAGGACCGGCTGCGGCCTCGTTCCAGTACGATGTCACCGCTGGAAAACGAGGCCAAATGGGATCAGGACGGCGAGCCGGCGTGGAGCCAAACCTTCCCGCAAGATTATCCGATCTGAGCGGGGGGGGGGGGGGGGGAGGGGACGGGGAGCCCCTTTACGTTAGCAGCTTCCCGGATAATGGCGGGCAGCTCCGAGAGGAGCGCGCCGACGGCAGGGAGCGGTGTGGTCGTTGAAGCGGGAAACCCCGGGGGAGTCGAGCATCCGCTCGGCCTCCCTCTTTCCAACACTGCGCTCCCCGGGAGGGAACGAGCGTCGGGGCTGCTGCTAACGTCACCGGTCCCAGAGGAATCATCCGATTCACTCCGAGAGCCAGCGTCGAAGAAATCCATGGCGTCGTCCAGCGAGCAGTCTCCCGCCACGGACAGGCAGTCCTTGTAGCCTTAAACAAGGCTGCTCTCCTCTGCCTTTCCTCCGGTGGAAGTTCGTCACAGAGGCGGCAGGAGGAAGCGCGGGCGACGTGGCGGGGACCCAGGCATCCCTCGCAGGTGTCGTGCCGGTCGAAGCTAAGCAAGTAACCGGTCTTGCAGGAGGGACACAAGTGGATGGTGCTGGAGCTGGACATCTCGATGAAAAGGTCAGCTGTTTTATTATATTAGCTTGCTGAAGAAAAATGGGAGCAGATTACCCGCTCTTAATGTAATTTATACGGATCGGGTGGGGCCCACACAGCAGGTGGGCGTGGACTAATTTTTTCAGTATGATGCTTGCGCATAACGGGATAAACCCATCAGCGACAGCCTTAAAGGGCGAAGCCTATATGACATAGAACTACTCTAAGTCCGCTCAGCTAATCAATTCATTCCTTGAACGTATGGTGTGGCTGTTGTATGGCCTTTACGTAACTCTACCTCAAGACACTCGTCCCCCCCCCCCCCCCCCAGTCCATAAGACGTACTGCTGAATTGTTTTAATTTTTTTTTCTTGATAAACAAATTTTACCTTTGGTGAAGGAATGTGATTATGGGGCCACGGTCATCTGAGACCATGGTCCATTTATTATGAAATTGGTTAACCCGATCACAAAATCTGTATTTCATCCTTGGAGATTCAACGCCTTATTTTTGTCTGAGAAAGACTTTACCAAATTTCTTACATCTGAAATTGAATTCTTCCTAGAAGTTAACCAAACACCAGGAATACCACATATACTGTCTGGGAGGCATTAAAGGCATGGGTAAGGTAATTTCCTATTGTGCAAACAAAAACAAGAAGGGGTTGGTACGGCTATGACATCTAACGGTTGAGATACTACAGTTAGACAGGGAATATAGCCACTCCCCCTCACAGGATCTAATGGAAAAAAACATTTGTTACTTCAAACTGAATTTAATACTTTGTCTACTCAGCAGGCAGAGTATTCTAGACAGGGTCACTCCGAACACGGTGAAAAGGCTGGGCGCTTGTTCACACATCAGTTGCAGCGACAGTCAGCCAACTAAACTGTTACAGCAATAACCAATGCCACGACAATGCTGAAATTAATGTTTAAGTAAATTTTAACAGTCATTGTATACGACTGAGTCATCAGCTAACGTATCAGACATGAAGAACTTTTTTGGAGATCTTGAACTTCCTTCAGTGAATCCTGACCTCGTTGGGGACTTGGAGAGGGAGTTCTCTGTAGCTGAGATAAACTCCACAATCAATGATATACAAAATCCCCTGGACCAGATGGCTTCCCATCTTAGTTTAAGAAATTTTCAAGTCTACTCTCACCACAATACCTGCTACAACTGTGATTCTCAACTGGTGGCCCACGGACCACTTTAAGTTTGTTGGAGGGCGTTTTCTGGACAGTAGGGGTCATTTTATAAAAACTAAAAATATCTAATGATTTTTAACACTTGATATTTTTACAATCTAAGACAAAATACGACAAGATTCTTGTAAAGAAAGAAAAAATATAATTTTTGCTCAGTTTTTAAAACTAAAACAATAAATTATGCATTCTTATGTGATTTTATTTTAATTGCAAAATAAATTACAGGAAAACCGCTAAAACAAGCCCTTTTAGTTCTTGTTATAACAACCAATAAAATTCAGTTTTGTCAGCTTTGGTCAGAGCTTGAAAGAGCCGCTGCAGAGGGACCGAAGAGCCGCATGTGGCTCCAGAGCCGCAGGTTGCAGACCCCTGATATAGAACTATCTTGCTTTTAAATACTGATGTTAAAATCCTTGCAAAGGTCCTGGCAAAACGACTTGAGCAGGTGGTCCCCACAATCGTCCCGCCTGACCAAACAGGGTTTGTAAAAATCCGTCAGACTTTCTTCAATGTTAGGCGGCTGCTTTATGTGCTGTACACTCCTGTTTGACTGATCCGGTGTGAGAAGTGTGTGTGTGTGTGCGTGTGTGTGTGGGGGGGGGGGGGGGCTCTATGTTTTTTGATGTTGTGTATTTAAAAATGGGAAAAGCAAATCTATAAAAAGTTTTTTTTTTAAAGTATCATTGATAAGCAGTTCTGTTTACCACATTTAACGATATACGGTTTTTCTGGTAGAAATGTTCTGGATTTCTTGCTGGAGAAGCTTCTGCTAACATTACTTATCCTAGTTTATTTAAAAAAATTAAAAAAAAATTACTTATCCTTGTTTATTTTTTATATGCAAAATTGACACAATGTGACCGTTTGGAAGAAAGTTTAACATTAAAGATGTTTTGAGGACCGGTGTAATCCTATTTGGTCTTGGCCCAGCTCCGTTTAACTGTTTGTCAATACCGTACGGTAAAAATGAACCTTTATTTGACCAAACAAATCGTTTAAGCAGCTCGTAACGTTTCCACAGAACCCCACCTCATAATAACTCAAATTCTCATTTAATTTTTAAAAGATACAGAAAGAAAACAGTAACTGAAAGGTCAATATGTTTGGCACCACTTGGACAAACGATGTTTCACTCCGTTGTTTTTTATTTATTTTATAAAGTACATAATGCAATGCAAAGAACCCAGCCCATGTTGATTTGTTTTAACCCTGTAAAGATAAATGGACGAGGCACGCAAAAATGAAGAGTCATCACCTCCCTGCAGTAAACATTTTATCCGAGGATACTTTGGGTTGAGTCGTCTCATCATTTGCAAGGACTTTTTTCCCCCCGGTAGTTTGGTCCATTGTCGTTATGTTCAGGTCTGCTGAAGCATCTGCGCAAAGACTCGTAGGACTTCAGCAGCACGTTGCGGCACTTCTCGTCTTTTTAAAATTTTGTATCATTTTTCCTTCTCGTTCCTTTGTGGAGCGCCACGCGCCGACATTTAAGACATGACTCCGAACACGGGGTTGTGACGGCAGATGCTCGGCCCGATTTCCTCGTAATCCTTCTTGGTGTGGCACACTTGGTAAAACTCCGGCTGGAAAACAAAAATGTTCTAAATCATCCACTGGTGTGAGACATTTTTATTTCCCAAAGAGGACTACAAGAATACTCACGGTGGATGCGAGCATCGATCCTCCGAACCACACGGCGTACCTCTGCATGTGGTGGGTGACAACCTGAACGTCGATGGGCTTCGGCTGCAAACAAAGACCTCCAGCTCAGCTAAAACACCTTCGCTGAACGTGCCTGTGCTCCGAACTCACGGTCCTACCTTCAACTTGCCGCCGCTCAGCTCCTCGCTGATCTTCAGCCGTGCATCCACGGTCCTCTTCAGGTCCCTCTGCAGGCGCCTGCCGAAGTCCCTGAACATGGTGGAACCACCGGAGAGCACGACGTTCTGAAGGACGGAGACACAATCATAAAATGCTTAATAAAGTCTCATAGGTCTACACATCACATTTTGCTAACACAGGTTTACGCCGTTTTATTTTCCCCAATATTTAATTGGGAAACGCTTACAGGGAACTCTTTGGTGGAACTTGTTTTTTTTAAGACAAGTCATCTGGACGGATTCTTTTTTTTTTTTTTTTTTTTTGTGTGTGTGGAGACGTTTCATCCTTCATCCAAAGGACTTCATCAACCTAAGGAGCCACAAACAAACTCAGTCCCACAAGCGGAACACTCCCATAATGGACCATAGTGGACTTTGATGTCAACGAGGGAGAGAGCAGGCCCCATAAACCATCTTATCACCAGCAAACTGGTTGGTCCACTATGTGAGTGTGCTGCATATGGAACTGAGCTTGTTGTGGCTCCTCGGACTGATGAAGTTCTTGGATGAAGGACAAAACGTCTCAACAAAAAAAAAAACAAAGTCCAGATGGCTTGACTGAACTTTGTTGGATTTTTTTACCTGGATTATTGAGCATAAACTTTGACTGTTTGTTGATTTGACACCAAAGTATGAATCATCGGTGAGTTCTCTAGGGTTAGATTTATGTTTGTTTCTGCGCTTGTACCTTATAAAGAGGACGCCTGACGTCAATGGGGCAGTTCTGGATGACTTCATCCACCACCTCTGAGATGGGCTGGGTGAAGTCGGGGTTGGCAAACTGGATAAAATAAAATATTTATATAAATAAATGTGGCAGCTCTATTTTTTCAAGACCCATTCCGCAGCTCCAGTACCTCGGGGTGGAAGAAGATCTCGGGGCCAAGGAAGCGCTCGTATCCAACGTCAATGGTGAACTCCTTCTTGGTGATGGCGTTCACGCCCGTGTACTGTTTGACCCACTTGGAGCCGTCGCTGTCGTACTTGCTGAACTCCTTAACAAGATCAGGGCAGACGTAGCTGAACCGCTCCTGTGAAAAAAAAACAGTCAAAGGAAAAAGATTTGGAAGAGATTAATTTAGTGTTTTAAACCTCTAAAGTCCACGTGGTGCTGTCGTCGCCTTCTTCCACCTGCGCAATATCACTAAAATTAGAAACGTCTCATCTAAAAATGAAGCAGAAAAACTGGTTCATGCATTTGTCACGTCGAGACTGGACTAGTGCAATGGTTTGTTATCTGGGTGTCCAAAAACTTCTTTAAAAAGTCTCCAGTTGATCCAAAATGCTGCTGCCAGAGTCTAAACTGGAGTTAGTGGGAGAGATCATATCTCTCCAGTTTTAGCTTCTCTCCACTGGCTCCCTATCAAATCCAGAATAGAATTCAAAATCTTACTTCTAACCAACAAAGCCCTCAACAACCTAGCTCCATCTTATATTACAGATCTTATTGTTCCATATTTTTTTAACAGAGCACTTTGCTCTCAGACTGCAGGCTTACTTGTGGTTCCTAGAGTTTCCAAAAGCAGAACGGGAGGAGTTTCGTCTTTCATCTGAAAGACTTCAGATCTTTCAGTTATCAGGCTCCTCTCTTGTGGAACCTACTTCCAGTTTCTGTCCATGAGGCTGACACATTGTCCAGTTTTAAGACCGGGATTAGTTAAGACTTTCCTTTTTGATAAATCCTATAGTCAGGGTTGGTTTGTTATGATGCTATAGGTTCGGACTACTGGAGGACAAATTGACCTCATTGCCTTAAAATGAATTGTTAAAATTGAATAGTTTTCATTTGATACTATTTCTATCTTAACATGATTCTTGACCTGCCATTGTGTATCTGTTCTTCTCAAACCCAGCCAGTGGAAGCAGATGACCGCTTGTCCTGAGCCTGGTTCTGCCTCTTTTCCCATCAAAAGAGCCATTTTTCACCTTCATTCACTACATTAAACGTGTCTGGAGCCGCAACAACCTGCTACAACTGAGGTTATGAACTGGTGGCCCATGAGCCACATTTTTAGCATTTATTAAAGCAAAATGCCAGATTCTTGGGGGGGGGGGGGGATTTTAGTTTTTACCTTTATATAATTAAAAACTATATACTACGAAGACAGTGACTTCTTGTATTTGATCCAGTGTTCATGTATTTGCAAAAGAAATGACAGTAAAACTGAACTAATCCTTTTTTGTTGTTTGTATAAACAATAAAATTCAGTTTTATGTCCGTTTTGGTCAAAGCTTGAAAGAGCCGCTGCAGAGGAACCAAAGAGTTGCATGTTGCAGACCCCTGTACTAAAAGGTTTCTTCCTCATGAGGGAGTTTTTCCTTTCCACTGTCGCCTTCATGCTTGATCAAGAAGAGCGTCTGCAATGGAGTCAATTCAAATCAGTCTGCTCCTCAGATAAATAATGTTAAATTATTATTTTTATATATGAACGTGTCTGTTCAGTGCCCTGAGATGAATAAATAAACTGAATTGCTACGCTGCCCTCTTCTGGTCACATAAATTCATAACAGTCTTTTCTTATTTATTTCAGGTAATCACATGTACCAAACTTCTTGCTCAGGGTTTAAACTTCCCAACCATAACTCCACCCACTCTGTCATCATGTGACCAGAAGTCTAACCGTAATGACCAATGAGGGATACTCTCATGGACCCTTTCCCCATTACATGCGCCTCATGCACAGACCTGTTCATCTGCAGCGATGAAGGAAAACGCACGGAGAATTTCTTATGACGCAGCTTTCAAGTTAAAAGCCATCGATCTGGCTGTCTAAGGAGGAAACTGCTGCCGAGAGCGAGACGGTGTTTGACGACGTTTTTTATGAGCCTCCAAGAGGACTTTAGCGCAGGAGGAAGAACATCGCAACTTTTGGTCGACTACCGGCACTTTTTGTGTTTGTTTGTTTTTTTTGCCATGTTAAAGGCATTTTTCATAAAAAATAAATAAATTTACAGACTGTTCTCCTCCGGGTCACGTGGGCTCCAAATGTTTATTTTAAAGCAGTCAAGTTCGGAACATATTTTAATAAAAGTTTTTAAATTCTTCCCATGTGACATCTTTTTGTGTACGGTAAATATGCGTTTAAATACCAGTACGTCATCTCCAGGGCTGAAGTGCCGGATCCTGCCGGAACAAAATATGGGAACTCTCTTATTTTGAAGGGTTATTCATAATTTACTTTTAAACACTTTGTGTGATTTACTGTACAAGTGTATTACGTGCAGGATCATTTCTTACCTTAATATAAGAAATGATCCTGCACTTAATACACTTTGAATCACACATAAAGTGTTTAAAAGTAAATTATAAATATGAACTGGCTTCAGTGGCGATTTTAGCCTCTTTTGGGGCGGGGGGGACTCAATCGCCCCTAAATTTTTATTAATCACCCCTGAAAAAAAAAAAAAAAACATCAATAGGATTTTGTAAGAAAATTCAGTTCTCAAACCTTAGATTCACCAAATATTGAATAAATGACGACAGTCTCAAACGGGCGAGTAAAATATGTGATTTTTTTTTTTTTGTGGCACGAGTCCTGCCACCTGTCAATCAATCCAGCATGTCCAATCAGCCAATCCAACTGACCAATCAGCAACCTCAATTTGTCCTGAAGTGAACGCCCCTTACCTGCAGAGCTGCAGCTTTGCAGTCAGATTTCATTGAGTTTACATTTCTGGTTTCATGTTAATCTACTGTAATAAACCTTTGTAAAATACACCAGAACGCAGGAAATGGCATCTACTTTATTCAAAATTCTCTGGGGGAGGACCCCCAGATCTCCCCCCCCCCCCCCCACACCAACACAGCCTGTTCTGTAATGTTCTTTATACAGAATGGAAGGTTAAATAACTGTATAATAAACAAATGTACTTTATTTGAAGTATTTGCATTTCATGTATTATATTATTGCATTTGCCTACAGCCCTCTGATAGATTTGAGCACAAAACGTACAAACCTTAACAGCCTTGGCCGTTTCCAGCGACTGCTCCGGAGGGATGCCCACCTCGCGCTCCCTCAGCAGCTGCTGGATGAAGTAGGTGATGTCTCGCCCGGCGATGGGGATGTGTTTGATGCAGCTGCCGATGACGTAGCCTTCAGCCTGGAGAGGAAACGTGAGAAAAGTTTAGAGGTCGAGGAAGGATCGAAGGCGTTACAACGGTGCAGCGCCTACCACCGGGATGACGTGCGTGACTCCGTCTCCGCTGTCGATCACGGTCCCCGTCAGCGTCCGCTCCCCCACCTGTCTGGATGTCCAGGAGGCAGCCAGCGCCAGGACAGCCTGACGAAAACAGGACGTTTTCACATCGTTGGTCTCAAGACTTTAAAATCAGGAAGGAAAGGTCCGAGAAACTACGAAACTTAAAACAAGGAACTGAAAATTAACCAGTTCCTTAAAAAATGAACTGGATCTAATTTTATCTCACCGACTCGGATTCAAACGGGCTTTGATGGATTTCACATTAAAAGCCCTCAGATCCACCCGACTCTCACCTGAACAGCGATGTAGAGGCCCGGGACGTTGAAGGACTCGAACATGATTTCTGCCGTGTACTCCCTGTTCTCAGGCGTGTTGAGAGGAGGCTCCGTCTGCGGACACACGTGAGCTTTTACACAAAACATCAGCTAAAGACTTTTAACGAGCCAAAGAGGCTAAAAAACTAAGAGTTTAAAGCGACTGCACGTAGACGTCAACCATTACGAGTTTTTAAATCAACAAACTCCAACATGAACTACTTTATGTTAATTTAACAATCCTTATGAGAACTTGATTTATAATTTAAGCATTTTAGATGATATCACACAAACATGGCTCCGACTGACACAGAAGGTTGGGATTTATTAGAAAATGGCTGTTTCTTGAAATCCTCGTGTTGTTTTTATGGTCCGCCTCAGCTTCAGAGGACGGACAAAACTGTGACTCCACCGTGCTCAAAACTTTGGCTGGACAAACGTGATCTTATTCCAAAAAGAAGATATAGAAAGGTTCGCTTTGCAAGCGTTTACACTAGTCCCTCGCTACTTTGCGGTTAGACTTTTGCGGATTCGCTCTTTCGCAGTTTTTCAAAATAACATTGTACACGAGGAAGAAAAATTGTACATGACACACGATAACTTTAATACACTGCCTGGCCAAAAATAAAGTTGCCACCAAAATAAAGTTCACACACTAATATTTCGTTGGACCGCCTTCAGCTTTGATTACGGCATGCATTCTCTGTGGCGTTGTTTCAGTAAGCTTCTGCAATGTCACATGATCTATTTCCATCCAGTGTTGCAATAATTTTTCACCAAGACCTTGCATCGATGATGGCAGATTCTGACCACTTCAACACATCCCAAAGATTCTCAGTGGGGTTAAGGTCTGGACTCTGTGGTGGCCAATCCATGTGTGAAAATGATGTCTCATGCTCCCAGAACCACTCGTTCACAATTCAAGCCCGATGAATCCTGGCATTGTCATCTTGGAGTATGCCCGTGCCATCAGGGAAGAAAAAAATCAATTGATAGAATAACCTGGTCATTCAGTATATTCAGGTAGTCAGCTGACCTCATTCTTTGAACTCGTAAATAAATAAACTCATAGTATTACAAGAATCTCTAACCAGAATAATCACTGTGAAAAACCACATCATGTTGCTGCTGATCTGTTTCATGTTGCTGCTGATCTGTTTCAATGTTGATGTGTTCATGAGTGCACATCCGCTCACACAGACTCATGTTCATGTTTGTGCTGATGTTCAATGTTTTTATGTTATGAGTGCTTGGTGTACATTTAATTGATGTTTTTCTTAGTTCATATCTTAGATGTTATTACTGTTTTTTTTTATACATTTTATTGTTGGATGTAACTTGGACCCTGCGTACATAACTTGGCTCCACCACATGTACCACATGAGGTGCGAATGACAATAAAGAATCTCTGACTCTGAATAAAGTAGAAATAATATGAGAATAAAGTCATAGTATTAGGAGAATAATTTAAAAAAAATACCAGAATAAATTTGAAATATTACGAGAATAAAGTCAAAATATTAAGAGAATCAAGTCAAAATATTACCATAATAAAGTCAAAATAATATGAGACTAAAGTTGAAATATTACGAAAACAAAGCCAAAATATTACGAGACTAAATTCGAAATAGTACGAGAATAAAGTTGAAAAAGTACGAGAATAAAGTAG